TAAACCGGAGGTGCCTGCGCCGCGCCCCACGCTTGCAAATGCTTCGGAAAGCATCGAAGCCGCGGTCGCGCGGAAGAAACTCTCGGCGCCGAGCGAGCCGAGTCCTGTGAAGGAGGAGGCGAAAGCGGCCAAACCGGCCGCCCCTGCGCCTGTGGCTGCGCCCGCGCCCGCGCCGCGGCCCCCGAGTATTTCTGCGGAAAGCATCGAAGCCGCGGCTGCCCGGAGGACAGCAGTTCCGGGAGAAAGCATCGAGGCGGCTGCCGCTCGGCGGGCGCTCTCGGCGCCGAGCGGGCCCAGTGCCTTGGAGGAGGAGGCAAATTTGGGCAAAGCGGGGGGGCCCATGGACAGTGGGGGCGGCATGTTTGACGCGACTCCGAGTCGGGACTCAGGGCGGAGCAGCCTGCTTTTGCTGCCTGATCCGGATGAACCGCCGCCGGACTGCTCCGTCACCATGTGTTAGAAAGTGGATGGGAAGGGGAGGTGACCTTGGACTTGGCGTTGTTGGAAGGGGGAGAAGACGGGCGTGGAGTAGAAAGTGTACTTTTTCGGGGGCGTTTGTGCTACCAGGATTGAGCGTTTTGCGAGGGTCGAGAGTCCGAGGGCTTTCAGGTCCAGAGCCGTCAACCCAGGGTTTTCGGGCTAGTAGCATCTTAGGTGGCATTGATACACCGACTGCACCATTTCAAGCTGTTGACTTGCTTACTGCGTGCAGTAGCCAGTTTGACTGTATATTACGATGGTGACTGAAACTGATTACGTGTGATCTGTTAGGGCTCATGCATCTAGCGTGTTGAGAAGGTAGCATCGTTATGCATTTCAGATCCGGTCGATCAGAGATGTCCACCTACCGGAGACCTTCCTTACACAAGATAAGACACGCTTAGACTAGTTTCGCTTTCTACACATTGATGTCAAATTCAATTGTCACTTTTGCTTTGACATCAGTCCAGTTTGTTGGTGTTGCTCTGACATGTAAGCGTAAAAGCAAGTGCCCACTTGAGTTTGTAGACAAGGAGAGTCCGGGTTTGCATGATTGCGTTGGTGATCCGCTTTTCATAAAACCTAAGCCTGAGTTGTTGGACGCATAGATGAAGCCCTCGCATCTTTTGATTGCTCAATTTGGATTGTATTACATGCCAGTACGTGCACTTAAGCTCGCTCTTGAGATTGCGTGGCATTGAATTATACAATAATCATGACTGCTCACGTATATCTTTGATCATCTTTGACATCTTTATGCCTGAGTCATACTCATGATTTGCGCCGCATTGTCGAACCCGTCACTGCAACAATTTCAACCTAGCCGTCCGTGACTGTAGATCGCGATGGTGCGGCATCATATCTAATTTGGCACACGGGGCACCTATATTTCGAATCTACGGCCTACTGACCAAGCTAGCTTAGCTGAGCTCAGCTACGTACACTATAAAGAATTATACTCGATCTACTCCTTCAATACGAAGGTCCAAATAAAGATATACTAGCTAGGTAGTAGTGCATGCACGCACTCGATCAACCGGTGTGATTTGAATTGACTGGATTCCCGCAGGCTGCATGCCCTATCATGATAAGGCGGCGCTGCAGTAATACACCCGGGTCAATAAGTTTTGTACCTGAGGTTTTTCACGATTGC